AAAAAAAAGCAATAGCGGCTCGGTGGCTCCCCCCTATTCTCTGTTTGCCGTGCGCGACTCGCTTCACCTCTCCGCCATGGTTTGGGACCTCCGGTGAGGCTAGAAACTTCTCCTTGGGTATACAAATGTGGGTTCGAGTTTCGTCTCATCGTCGGATTTGCATAGTCGTTCGAGTTTGGACTGGAGTTTTCATGTGTGGGGATTTAAATCTGCAATTTTCATTTCGGCTTTAGGAGCGGCTTGTGTTTTGGGTATTGGAAGTTGGAACACACAGGTAGCAATCTGTCCCCATGGATCGTTATCAGATATCAAACGCATGCATACATTATTTCTAAACATTTTTAACTCAACCACTTTTTATTACTCAACTTTAACTGAGTTCCACTATCATTTATATTAGCAATATAATTAAATAATATCATCCAATCATTCTCACACATCACATCAACCTTAATTCACTATTCATTCATTAACATAATTTTAACTAATCATCACTTCAAACCATCTATCTCCTACTTTTACATCAAATTAACTTTAATTTTTTTTATTTTAAATATTCTTTAATAAACCCGCTAACAACTAACCATACCAACTTTTTCAAAATTAACCAAACCAAACCAAACCAAGAAAATCCAATCAAATCAAAAAAAAAATTATATCCAAGCATCCCCTAATAAAGTCCCAATCATCAGAACATAGTCCCAGTCTTTAAACATGAAATATCTAAACCAAACAATGAGTTCATAAGCATGTTTGTGGAAACATAAAAATAAATAAGCATTGACCACACCCGCCCTCTCGTGACCGCTGCCAGCTGCTTAACCTGAAAAATAATAAGGTGAGCAAATCCTCTATGCTCAGTGGTAAAAGCATACTATGCATCAATTCAGTATAAACACATATAATATATTAATAATATGAACATGAATCAAATGTTGCACTACATAAAACCAGCTTCAAGCCAACAGGTAAACTCGGACGTGACTCTTATTTCAAGCCTCCATACTCGAAGTTCATGAACTGATTGTCTCGTAAATAGTTAAAGTATAGGGTTACTCGACATCAACCGGTTCCAACAAATGTCATCGGCATCAATCGGTACCGTTAGTATGAGAAACTAATAACTTGGCCCACTTGTGTTTCGTTAATGGTTTCGTCTTTGAAGGATGGACTTGGCACGTTGGTCTCGAATCTAGTAAGCCGTAAGCCGATTTGGAGTTGTGGAGTTGTTGGATCTGCGATTAATAGCCGAGGTCTTGTTCTTCGTTGTGCGGCCTCGTCATTTCGTTGGCTCGTATCGTGGGTGTGGTGGTGTAGTTTGTCGAGTTCTGGGAGGAATTTAGTCTATTGTTAATATTTGTTGTTTTTCTATTGTTTTTTGTTGTTGTTGTTGTATTGTTTTGTGTTCTGTTTGTGTGGAACAATCTTCTAGTTTTTTGTTTCTAATTCCATCTTCGTGGATAATAGAAGATTTCTAGTTCAGTTTAGTTACATCTTTGTACAGATTTTTTTTTTTTTTGGTACAGGGACTTCCGATTTCTGGATCCACAGGGGAACCGACTAATCCGGAATCGAGCCAGTTGACATGAGACTTTGTATTATGTATATTATCTCGTTCTTGAGTTTAATAATATGTAGTATTGTTAAATTAAGCAAGTCTGACTCGACTCGACCCGTTTTGGCTCGAGTTCGAGGGAGCCAAACTCGAGCTCATTTAAAGCTCGTTTGGCTAATGAGCCGAGCTCGACTCGGCTCGATAAGGCTCATCAAAGCTCGAAAATAAAATTTTTATATAATTTTTTATAGTTCGGCTCATGAGATCAACTCGTCAAGGCTCGAGCTTAAAGTCTTAACGAGCCCACCTCGAGCTCAAATTCAGGCTCGTTAAGGGCTCGAGCTCAAACTTGAGCACCCTAAGCTCGAGTTTGGCTCAACTTGTTTCCAGCTCTAATAATAAATTCAGGCTCGTTAAGGGCTCGAGCTCAAACTTGAGCACCCTAAGCTCGAGTTTGGCTCAACTTGTTTCCAGCTCTAACAATATGCTATCACTGACCAAAAAAAAAAAAATTGAACCAAAAATTTTGTGGAATGTGCCTTTGCGTCATCATCAATTAAACTAAAACATAACTTCACCCATCAGATCATCAAATTCAAACATCGACGACAAAACGTCACAATTTCATTTTTTTTCATTAGTGCTATTTCTTTTGTCCACAATGACAGGACTAAATTCACTCTCACCAAATGGTCAACCCTCGTGCCAATTTTTTTTTTATTATTTTTATATATTCTGACTGGGCATTCACAAAATTATAGAACTCAGACCGATTTGCAGCAAACCTCTTGTTTCTTGGTGATTTTAGACCAACTCCAACAGTATATCTATCAAAAACTCTATATTCATACATAACATAATGATCAAATAATGACCTTGGATAGCTAGTTAACAAGGTCGCTACGGAAAATTTCTACTGTATTATTTCAAGGTGATACAATGGCAAACCATGGTTTATCAAAGTGTAAGTATAATATTTTCGAAAAAACGTGAACTCGGTAAGATAAATTTTCCAGCTGAAATATATACATATATTATCATATATCATACTTTTATTTATTTAAAAAAAAAATATATATGCATATATGATAAACCAATCTAATGCGAAATTGTATTGATCTGGATATGTCTAACAATGGCTCGTATTTGGCATCACATTCCTCGTGCTATTTTTTAGACGATATTTAATAGATCTAAAAGCATATGAATTTACAGTATGTTTCATCTTTGCATAGGATAATTTTGTGCGCAAATATAAATATAAATAAAAATAAAACACGAATAATTCCCATAATATGAAGGCAAATCCGACTTAGCGATAAAGCAATTTGCATAAAATAACTACCGATGAGAAGAAGTCTTATGAGGAAAACGAAAAGATAACATGCGTAAACCTCAGGACAGTTAGTTTGAGCTCACCTGAGCTTGTGTAACAAATAACACTAGCACCTTTTTGCACCCGGTGCATACATAGCCCTATGCATAGTAATTTAAGCTGGATTTCTTCTTAGCTTGAACTTGTATAATGCCTTCATTGAAATCTTCATGGTTCACCTGCAAAACCAACAAGTATACATGTCTTAGTTTAAGAAACCAAAACCAAATAATCAAATAAACATAAGGCCTTAGCAAATTTAGTAAAGCGATATATCTACCGAATTAATGGTGATATCTGAGCCCTGAGGTCTAATTTCATTACAAGAGACAACGTCTAAACAAGACTGAGCAAATCAAACTCAAAAAAATATTTACATACTCGAATCCCACGACTGTAAGGATTAAATAATGTTCCGTTATCTTTCCATTTAATTAGAGCGATGGTAACAAAAAAAAAAATGAAAGAAAAGGAAAACAAGGAGTGAGGGAGAGAGAGAGAGACCTCTGTGGCATCTCGACGAAGAGCTAACATGCCTGCTTCCACACAAACAGCTTTAAGCTGTGCCCCATTGAAGTCATCTGTCGAGCGAGCGAGCTCCTCAAAGTTGACATCTGGATGAACATTCATCTTTCTGGAGTGGATCTGGAAGAAAACAAGAGTGACAAAATCTATTAATATATAATAAGGATTAACATAATTCATTTTTAGAAATAATTTCCCGCCAATTTCATTAATTATTGTCTAAACATAGTAAAAAAAAAATCTCTATTTTATTAACATACCTTTTTTATCCAATTTTTTTAGGATTACAATAACAAATATGGAATCAAAATCAAAATAAATCTAAGAAATACATTTACCATAATTAATACATTTAATTTAAGAAATACACTTACCATACGTATTTTTAAAAATTTTAAAATACAATATAAAACATTTAATTAATAATTTTTAATTAAAGTTTCTTTTTAAGAATCAATCATATTTCTAATAATTGTTAGAAATAATTTATATATACATATATATATATATATATATATATTAGTATTTACGTGAAAGTAACATATATGTTACTTATATGTTAACATATATGTTAAGATATATGTTAATTCTATATAATAAGGATTAACATAAATCAAATTTAGAAACAATTTCCCGCCACTTTTATTAATTATCTCCTAAAAATAGTAAATCAGATTTTTTTCTTTTTTTTTTATTAATAACATCAAATACTTTTATATGGGTAAACAATAAAGAATCAAAATCCGAATAAATCTTCTATTTTTCCAAACAATTTGGAAATTCGAATGTAAATCCGAATAAATCATGATTTTAGAAATCATGATTTCTAAACAATTTGAAAATCCGAATAAATCTCCAAGGAAAATCATGATTTGTATATATCATGATTTTAGAAATATGTTCAAAATTTTCTTTGCATGAATCTGAATCATAATTTATTCAGCCTATTATTATATTATTAAATTATTTGAAACCGCATGCTAAGATTTGTATATATCAAATTTCTAAAATCATGATTTGTACATATCATCTTTTCACCAATTAGACTTTTTTCTTCATTATCGATATGAAAAGGAAAACGAATTTTATATATCTTATCGGTTTTGATAACACAATGTTATAATCATTATCATTATTTATTTTAAAAGATAGTGTTTGTCATTTATTTGATTTCAAAAGATGGAAAAAATTTTATAGTTTAGGTCTCTTTTTATTTATGCATTTACACAAATTAATTTAAAAACTCTAATAACGATTGGCAACAAAATTTGGTATATATTGATTCAAACCAACTAATGAATAAAAGAGTCCATCAATCACGAAATTAAAAAATAACACACGATCACTACATTTCAAAGATTAAGTTATTTAGATAAATATTCATTTATATTGTCATGACGATAAACAAGAGTGAGTGTCATTCTTAAAAATTTGATGTTTTCAACTGATATATTTTCAATGGTTTTTTTACCGTAGGAATTCTGTTTGAATATGCAAATTCCGTTGGAATTATTATTTCTACCCCGTTGAAAAATCCATTGTTTGAATCGTCAAAATCCAACGAAAATTCCAATGAAAAATTCATTCCAACTGAATATTTGGATTAGCAACAGATTGGTGACAGATGGAGTTCTGTCAAGGTCAACATTTATTGTACGTTGGCATGTTAAGTAATAGATCAAGAAGAGTCAAGGTCAACATTTATTGTACGTTGACATGTTGTTAAAGAAACTGATTTTTAGTCACGGACAATTATGTTGTTTGTTACGCATGTAAATAATAAAAAAGTGTTGAAAATATTAGTTTGTGGGGACGACGAGTTGCTCAGTTATAAAACAAATAATGTTGCGTACAAAAAAGTTTAAATAATATATTTTTTTGCATGAGAAACATTTTATGATTTGATAATTTTCCAACGAATTATCATTCTTTTATTTATTAATGCATTTTAATTTTTAATATTCTCCGAAGTAAATACAGTCCGTGCATCGCACGGGTTACATACTAGTAATTTTAATAATAATAATAATAATAATAATAATAATAATAATAATAATAATAATAATAATAATAAGTAGTAGTAGTAGTAGTAGTCCCATACAAATCATCTGAAGTACATAAAATTATCAAAAAATGTTTCACCTGCAATATTCGAGCCCTAGCCTCCTCAGTAGGATGGGGAAACTCAATTTTACGATCCAGACGACCAGAACGCATTAAGGCAGGGTCTAAGATATCAGCTCGGTTTGTGGCTGCTATAACCTGCCCACAGGAAACAGGTGTTGAACACCAAGAGAGGTCATGAGATTGAAGAAAACGCAATTAGAAAAAAAAAATAAAATTCCAGCATGTAATTTTCCACGTAAAAGGTCAAAACAACACCACAAAGGTACAGGACTTGGACATGCATAACAATACAAGACATAATAAGAGGATCTTCATGCAACATAATATTATCAACGGACACTATCCAAACAATGAATAGACATTTTTTTTTTCCCAGAATAAGATACAACAAAAGAAGCAGGTACAAACCTTAATTCGTTCATCACTGCTAAAACCATCAAGTTGATTAAGTAGTTCTAACATAGTCCTCTGCACCTCTCGATCCCCACTAACTTCACTGCACAATAGAACATCATTGTCCATCAGGGGGTTTTTGACATAGTCAGTAGTTTCCGTATACAATAACCAAGACTTCAATGGGATTAAAGGGAAGTAACTAATAAGGAATTAAGAAATAACTGCACACCTATCAAAACGCTTTGTACCAATAGCATCAATTTCATCAATAAAAATGATGCAAGGAGATTTTTCTTTGGCAAGTTGAAAAGCGTCCCGGACAAGCTTTGCTCCATCACCAATGAACATCTAAATAAAAAATAGCATGAGAAACATTAACGGATGGAACCAACGTAAAACAGCTAAAAGAACCTTAAATAGCGAAACGATACTTCATCGTACATGCGCTCAAAATAAACCAGTTTCCAAGATAAAACAATAAAAAATCCTGATTAAATATACAGCACAGCAACATCAGGAAACAATTGGATCAATTTGAACCACTAAAACCTGCCACTGAACAAATAGGACTACACTAAAAGCTCAAGATACAAACAGCTCATATCTAGTCATCAGTAAATATCAGAACCTATAAATAACTCATGACTCAGACCAATGTCACACCAATCGTCTATCCGTCAGTGTTTGATCCTCAAAATGTATCTAGTTCAACAATGCTATTCAACTGTATAAAATAAAATCTGCAACTTTTTAGTTTAGGAACTAACAATATGAATATCAATCGAAAATCATGAGATCATGTAGACCTGATCATCCATTCAACCAGGCAACAAAAAAAAGGATCAGAATACTACACCTGTACAAGTTGTGGACCTGCTAGCTTCAGAAAAGTAGCATTTGTTTGGGCCGCACATGCGCGGGCCATTAGCGTTTTCCCCGTCCCAGGAGGCCCATATAAAAGTACTCCCTTAGGTGGACGAACTCCGAGTTTCTGAAATCTATCTTTGTGCGTCATAGGCAACACAATAGCTTCAACCAATTCTTGAATCTGTAGTCATCACAACAAAGTTGAAGAAAAAGTATATGTATCACAAAATATTGATATTAATTTATTATTGATTAATGTAAAGAGGATCAACTTGCCTGTTTCTCCAGTCCTCCAATATCATTGTAGTCTTCAGTAGGTTTCTCATCAACCTCCATTGCTTTGACACGAGAATCATACTCAGATGGCAAAGTATCCAAGATGAGATAACTGTCCTTGTTTACTCCAACCAAATCACCAGGCTTCAATATGTCAGGATCAACCAGACCCACTACGGGCAAGAAAATTGTCTGGCATTGACACGTGATACATTAATTGTCTCTTAGAAAGTGGATGAATATTCACAAGTTCGTACAGACCAGAAATACAATAACATAGTACAGAAACTTGATATCATTAAATATATACCTACATCAGACCAGAAATACAATAACATGGTACAGAAACTTGATATGATTAAACAAATACCTACATCAATATACACTTTCAGATTTTACTTCATACAATCAAGATAGTAAATATACACAATAAACTTGCAACCTTTAAACTACCAATGTGAAAAGGCATTTAACCGTATTAATATTATTATTCTTTAAATGAATGACAAAGAAATCAGGATACAGTTATGCACAAATGCTCGCACCTGACGTGTGGACGTTTTCAGCACAACACATTTGCCCTTCCTCTGTGAATCAAGATCAATATTTGCACCATCTTCTTCTGCATCTTCCTCTGGATTCATTTCCAGAATCTGGCAAATAAATAAATAACTCCAAGCTCATTATTTCCAACTCACGTTAGTGCCCAAATAAATTGTAAGTACTTAAACTATATTATCAATAGTTGAGTAAAAAGACATAGACTAGATGTCATCGGTGCAGAATATTATTCCATTTACATACAAGGATGCATACCCTATACGCCACTGCCTACCCCAACAGAGTGAATGCAACACAGCCCCAGCCAAAATATTAAAAACAATTTCTTTTCATGTCTGCCGCAATAATCTCGGCAGAAAACTCTCTTCTCATCAAACACCATTACGCATGCCTCGCACAGACTCAATTCTAAGACTGACTAGAGATTTATATAAATGCAGTCTACAACCAAGCACAGTTGACCTATCCACTATCATCCCAGTTATGGATAGTAGGATGAAACCACATAGCCATATAAAAACCAAAATCCACAAATCAATTTGTAAAGATCTGCCCAGAAGCACACATGTACAAATAATCATCTCCTCTTCGAAAAACTTAAACTATATTAGCCAACCAAAAACCCCCTAAGCTTCAGCATGAATGCCTAATGGCTAACCCTAAACAATAAATACTATCGTCGCCCTAATGGCTAACCCTAAACAATAAATACCTCGACGATATTGCCGACCAAGTAAGGGAGCTGCTTATTCAGCTTGATTTTTTCTTGATTCTCTTTAATCTTCTCCTTGAATGAATCTACCTCGAGGTTCGTCCTCTGCAGCTCATCCTTCCAAAGGGGAAAAATTGGGGGAAAAAACAAAAAATAATAAAAATGTCAGGACACAACCGCATCAAAATCGTGCAAAAATCATTTTGACATTGCTATTTTTCGCACGCAGTGATTATTCAAAAAAAAAAAAAAATGATAAGTAAAGACCTTGAAAACTCGGACTTCGTTGTCGAGAAGACGAGAGGCCCGAAGGATGTCGTCGGTGCTCATCGACGAGAACTGATCTTCCTCGAAGTCGTCTTCCACCATCGGCGTCGCCATATTCTTCGATCAACTGCGTGTGAATGATTCGATCTCTTTTCTGTTCTGTGTGTGTGTGAGAGAGAGAGGGTTTTCAAGTTTCAGGCCTTGAGCATAATAGTCTTTCTGACCAAGCAAGGGATATTTCCGTCATTCTTTTGACGAACCGGCGGTTCACCTTTTCTCTTGTTTTAGACTTTGATGCGTAGTTTTTAAATTCGGCCCGGTCACCGATCAGGCTAGGTCTCCGAGTCATTAGTCACTAATTGAATCCGACGACCAGGCAGGTCTTCGGGTCATTAGTCACTAATTGAATAGTAGGATCCATGAGTCAATTGCTAAATCAGATAATTAATTTTAAATTTTTTAAAATTATATATAGAATATTTTTTTCATATAAATATACATAAAAGTAATAAAATTAAAGTATTAATAATAATATCTCATGATAAATATTTAGGACAATGCTACGCTTACAAAGTTGGTTGACAAACTTTGTTGACAAAGTGAGGTGTATGGTTAGGATGAACCATAAATCAATGGTTATGATTTCTTTTGACTTTTATTTATTTCCTTTAGATTTTTATCCCGATGTTAATTGTCTTAACATTCCGGATAAATTATCTATTCTATCTGACATATCAGCTAGAGAACGTTTCTCTGAAACTGATAATCTGCTTGATTCTCCTATAATCAAAGAGTTTTCTTTAATTTGCATAGGATTTTTGTTTTCTATCAAAGTTTTCCCTTTAGCTATATCAATAGCCCAGTGTTCTTCTAGAGGTGCTAACTCACAGAAGGTTTTTTCTTCTACTGAATCAATATCTGAGAAGATGTCCTCGAGTTCAATATAAGATTTTTTCCTATAATCTATACTATGATGACTATTACTCAAAGCATAGGTTATAACATACGTAACACTAAAGACTTTATCTCCGGGGTTCATTAGATTTTCTCTTTCAAAATGGTGAATGAAAGATAAAGTTTTATCTAAATTTGCAGTTTGAATAGACATTCCGAATTTAGGATAAACTGTGAAGATAAACTTACCATAAGCAAGATTTCCTCTTGCTGCACCTAATATGCAATCTTTTCTATCATTAATTCTATCATCAATTAGTGCCATTTTTATAGGGGTATCAATCCCTTCTTGAAATTCAGCCTTAAGCAAAATATTTATTGCTCCGAGATGAATTGTTGAGATTTTTCCTCTTATAGGAGAAGGAATCTTTTCTAAATATTTTCGTATTTCCGCTTTAGTAATTAAAGGCAGATATACCGTTCCCTTTACATCTCTTATGTCTACATGCAGTTCTTGCGTGTTGACAAAATAGAAAATTTCATTTTTCCATTTTAAGAAATTTAACATTGGAATGTTAAAGACTTCTTCTTTTTTAAGGTTTAACTTAGATTTTTGAATCTTAGTTGAAACATCATGTTTTATTGCCAAACTGGCTTTAAATCCTTTTTCATTTTCATTAAATGAAACTTGTGAAAGATCACTATTAGAACATAGATCTTGTTCTATATTTTTGTTTTCATTATCCGTATTGGAATTCATATTGTAAATAGGTTTTCCAGCTGTCTTCACCTTAAGATGGGATCCCGAATACTGGTATTCCTCATTATGTATTGTAATTCCGTATTAGAAAATGAATACAGAAAATATTGATCAAAAGATCTATTATCCAACAGGATTTTTCTTTGATATCAGGCTCTGATACCAAGATTTTTTAACGGGCTGATTCCCGTGCGAAATTTATGCGGAATATCTGAATAATTCATTTTTAGGCCATAAGAAGTGAGCTATGTTGTTGTGCCTTCTTAATTGATTCTTTTAATGCCACAATAAGTGACACCATTCTATTAACATTATCAACATAGCTTCCTATAGTTGCTAGTTTTATTTCTATAGGTGCAGAAATATAAGTTTGAATATAATTATTCAATCTTTGTTCTTCTTCATTTAAGTCAGCTGTTAACTGAATTATTTGTTTTCTTAATGTTCTAAGACAATTTATATCTGAAAACACTACTCTTACTGGCATATGCCATAAATTATTATTTTCCATAGCAAGTTAGAGTTTTTAACACTTAAACAAAACCTATGAATTTAGGCAGCTCCCAAAAGAGTTGCTTGTTTTTCAGCTTTCTTAATTGACTTCTTGGTAGAAGTAACTAAGCCATGTAGACCATTTAGTCTGAAACCATAAGATTTTAGGATACCCATTTTATCATCAGGTAATGCCCTGTTATACTCAAGTTCTTTCTCAAGTTGTAAGGCTTCAAGTCTTCGTTGATAAACTTCCAACAAAGTATGAAGATCTCTTAATTGTTTACGCTGATATTTCAAAGCGTTTCTTTCTCTATAATGTATTTTCATTGGCAGATGCCAAAAATCATACCATTGCAAAAAATTCATAATTTCTTATTCTAGAGAAATTACTTTATTAAAATATTTATTCTAATTTATGGCTTTGAAAACCTTCTTTCAAACAAATTAAAATTCCTTTCTTAGAAACTTTTAAACTGCTTCTCAGAGAGCTATTTAAGACATAACCATTATAATTCAAAGGGACTACTTATAAAATGTTTTATAGTTTGGATAAATGTTTACCTCTATGTTTGATTTTGAATCTCTGTGTCTGAATGATCGATTCCAAGCCTGCGCCACAGGTACTGTTTTCCCTTCTGGTACTTCTTCCCTTTGATTAGCAAATCGGCCTCCAGGATAAGATCTTTAGCACAAGTTCAAACAAACTGGGTATTTTATTCAAACTTCAAACATTTTACAAGAGTCCTGATATGAATATTAATTATTCATTCAAGCCTCTGATTACAATCTCAAGTTCCTAAGAAGGAACCTTTCACTACTCACACATTATCAAAGAAAAAGTTTCAAGCTAGACTCTGGGTTAATTTTCTGATGTCCCTTATTGAAATGTAACTCATCCTTTTATAGATCAAGGAATGAGGATCGATACAAAATACACACTTCCCCACAATGCACTCACATCTTATCTTTTAACTTTATTCCATGTCTTGTGAGCTGGATGATGTTGACGTTGTCTGGGAATCTTTTTCCAAAGTGGTAGGGTCCACCATGATTGTTGCTTGACAATTTGCATTTGGGCAGTTGTAAGTGCTTCCGCGTGCTTCTCTATTTTTCTTGATTTTCTTGCAGATTCTTGGATGATGAAATTCTTGTAACAGGCCTTTTTGGAAGTTGATAATCTTGATTTCA